ATAAATAGTTAAAACTATTTATCTGAGAAGCAGACTGCTTTGAATTTAACTTCACCACAGAACTCTCATATTGAGCAAGCATGAAGGCGACAGTGGAAAGGAAAAACTCCCTCATGAGGAAGAAACCTTTAGCAGAACCAGGCTCAGGACAAGCAAACATCTGCTTTGACCGGCTGGGTTTGATAGGAACAGATACACAATGGCAGGTCAAGAATCACATGTTAAGGTAGAAATAATAACTACATGTATGTTGTGTTATTGTCCAAATGTGTTTCCCATTAACAATAAAATATGAGCAGACATAAAAATATGAGCTGACAGAAGCTTGGCAAGTAAAATATTAACTTTTCACTCAGATGTTTTACCTCCTTATGGGTGAGCAGCTCTGTGCTCATCATTTTCACTTGGATCGGGACCAGAGTCAGAGGCTCGAATGTCAGACTGCCCCTGTTTCTGTATTTGTACTTCACACACAACAAAACCAAATGTTATTTTGTCTTATTTACATAAACTATGCACTGATGAGAATTCATGGCTTAAAATGATGATTATTAGTGATCAGGGTCTTACTTTGGACTTAGCCGGAACAACGAGGACCACGTTTTCAAGACGAATGCCAAAGGATCCATCTTCATAGTACCCAGGCTCTTAAGAGATAACACATAAATAAAAAACATACACAAACAACAACCACAACAACAACAACAACAACAACAACCACAACCACAACAACCACAACAACAACAACAACAACAAAAGATTTATGGTGGGCCTACAGAAAAATAAAAAATAAAATCCTCCTACAGTTTTGACAAAACCTCATCTGTCATCTAAAGATGTCACATTACTGGAATTTTAAACTTACAAATACCCAGTAGAACAAGATATACTCAATACTATATATTTAAGTAAATAAAAACGATAGTTTATATTAATATGCCTCTTAAATTATCATAGGTCTTGAGATTAGCAGTAAAGAAAGTGAACTATAAGAGCAACATTTTAAAAATGTTTTAATCAGCCTCACTTTTATTGTTGATTTTTGTTATAGTTTGTTTATATTGTTACATATTTTAAAACTGTAACTGTAGTTTTTTGTGTGTGCTGCTTCCAGTCTTGTGCAGCTAACTTTTCTAAAAATACATCAAAGATCTCAGTGAGTCTTTCTGGTTAAACTGCTGAAAAATAGAGATGTATAATAACTGCAGCTCTGAGATTTTTTTTTTCATAGTTGTAAAAAAAGAAAAAGGCCACATAAACAGCCCGTTTTAAAAAGTACCAACCTTCTAAATACATGCTTTCAAAATAAAACTTCCAGACAGACAAAGTTTTTAAACTAATATACTAAATTTCATTCAACCTAAATAAATGAATCACAAAATTTGGATTTCTTTCTTTAAAAGTAGAACGCCACACAGATGAATATTTTTGTATTCTACTTGTCTATTACCAAAGTATCCCTTAGTAATATAGGATTAAATAAATCCTAACGTTTTAGTTGTCCCATCTTTGTGACTTCCAGTAATCCGAACATGCATTAATTCAGTCTGATATTTTAGAACAATTACAAGTTACAAATGTACTCAATTTACAATCCTCTTATAACAAACGTGAACTGATAATTATTTTCCATTTGAGATTGTTCAGCAGAATTCTTATTGTGTGAATGTTTATGGTCTCAATAGTCTTGCTCCACTATATCTGACTGATCTTATAGCTGTTTGTGAATATAGGAGAACACTGAGATCATCCAATACTTTTCTACCGTCTGTCCCAAAGTCCATCTACAAACGATGGGGTGACTGGGCCTTTTCTGTCGTTGCACCAGACTCTGGAACCATCCAACCTCAGGACTTGCGCTCCATCGCTGATATGGAGCTTTTTAAGTCTAAACTTAAAACCTTTTTATTCAGGCAGGCTTTTAATACTGTAGGGACACATCAAGGTTTTTCTACCATCAACTTTTATTCTTTTGATACTTTGAAAGTAAGACTGACTCTCACTCCCAAAGCTGGACAGTAAGAAACCATGTTACAAAAATTGAACAACAAAAATCTGTTATTGTAATTAATTGCACGCCTGTTATGATTTCAGCAAAGCTGAAAGGCCCTTTGTATGAGAACCTTTCCATCTGACCTTTGAAATATAACATCTGAGCGTTATGAGTATCTCTTCCTAAAAGGGAGGATTTGTCCTGCAGTCTTAGAGTGTGGGAAAGAACCACCCTATTGTTCCTCAAGGACTCTTTGGTAATAGTGAATGTATGAAACAACATTGCCATACCCACGGTAGAAGTTGTTTTTCTGAACAATTTAATTTTCTGAGTTCTCCTGAACACAATTGAATGTTTTGCTGTAAAACTGCTATGAAATAACTTGTTCCTTCTTTCTCAGCTTGGTACTCAGTTTAATCATGCATAAGAGAAAGTAGATGTAAAAAAACTGGTAATCAGAAGTTTCAACTGTTATTTGCACAAGTTGTAATGAAAATGTTTATGGATGAGTCAAACTGCTTACAAGTCTTAATTATCCTGCTGTTATATTGAGCATTTACTAAAGCAGAGTAAATTAGCCATTTATTTTTAATATTGTTATTAAAGTTCAAATGAAGCGGTAACCTGAAACAAAGGTCCATCCTTTCTGTTTTGATTGAGTCGACCATCAATATTGTTAACGCCCCCTACGTCAGAGAAAAGTTATTCTGACGTTTAATTTAGAGCTCAGTCTTGGGGAAGCTTTTGACGAAGAAAGGTCAAGCAATCGAAAATTTATTCCAGAAGATAAGAAGTTCCATGCAGAAAACGCAGCCCTCCGGAAGCGTCAACTGACCCATCGGGAGCCAGTTATCTATCGACTCCAGATTTCAACTGATGTCCAGTGTCGAGGGATATCCACCTTCGACGCTTAACTCATCTCAAGAGAGTCCCTGTAACCCTCGGGCGGTTGAACTAGAACTTCAAATCGGTAGGAAAAGCTGCTCCTTCTCTCTGCTGGTGTCTGGTGCTCAAGATAAGAAGTTGTCCAGTCTAAGCAAAATTCATCATTATTAATTAGAATTAAGTTTTCTTAAATTGACAAATCACATCTAGCCAAACACTTCTTTTAGTTAACTTTATAGATGATAAATTACTCTGCTTTTGAACCTCATAATTCACCATATTACAGTTTAGAAGATAATTCCATAACCTCTTCTTGTGTAGTCAAGTTAAAGCCATTATTCATTCTTCAGCTGTACTCGTGTATCAAAACGTTCAGCTCTTTCATGACAATCCTGCTTTGAATTTTAGTATTGGTGCAACTTTAGCTTTTTGAAATATTTAGCCTTTTCTGCCATTTTTTTCCTCATAGAAAATGAATTGAGCTCATTTTACAACCTTTTACTGCTCCAACATTTTTCAGTCAGGTCATCTGGACAGCTTCTTTTTTTTGTGCTGAAACGTTTTGCCTTCGATCCAGAAGGCTTCATCAGTCAAGGAAACAACAAAAAACTGATTCTTCCCCCAACAGTATACAATCCAACAGACCAACTTAGCACCAACAAAACTGGTTTGTTCCACTTTGGAGTAAGCTGTTGGGGGAAGAATCAGTTTTGCGTTGTGTGTTTCCTTGACTGATGAAGCCTTCTGGATCGAAGGCGAAACGTTTCAGCACAAAAAAAGAAACTGTCCAGATGACCTGACTGAAAAATGTTGGATTGTATACCTGGATCATTGAGCATGGACTTTGTTCTTTTACTGCTCCTTTCACATTTTGTTCTGCTTCAGCTTCTTTCAGTTTCCTTTTGTAAATTTAAACTTTTATTCAGCTACTTTCAGCTAATTTCAGCAGTTTTGTGATCATTTTAGATTCTTGCTGCTAATAAACATTTTTGTGCTTCTTTTAACTTATTTCTGCTAATTTCAGCTTATTTATACAAATATCAGCTTTTTGTGCTATTTTGGCTACTATTTAGCTGTTTTATGCTAGTTTTAGCTTTTTCAGCTAATTTCACATTGTTTATTTACAGTGTTTATTTACAGTGGTGCTTGAAAGGAAACTAGTTTATTCCATTGCATGCAGTATTTTTTACCATATAAACATTCATCCACCCATCCAGTTTCTGCTGCCATCTGTGGTCGGGTTGCAGAGGCAACAGGTCCAACAGGGAATTCTAAGCCCAGAAAGGATATACTGGGTATATAATCCCTCCAGCAAGTTCTGGGTCTACCCTGGGGTCTCCTCAACTAAAGGTATTCATGATAAATAAATCCATTTCAAACTGAGATCACCTTCTCTCTGCATCTGATTTTTTCTTTAGAAAAGTAAACTTATAGTTAAAAGATTCAAAAGACAAGAGCAATGTTGAAATACTGCAGGTATACAGATGAATGACAACCTGAAGTTTTAAATTTTCTATACTGCATGATGCAATGATGCTTGGTTTTCTCAGATAATATCAAAACACAAAATGTAAACCCCTTTGTGTTTATTAGGAAGATACATAATATCACATTTCTGTGCTACACTTAAAAGTATTAAAAGTAATTCATATGTGTAGCAGTTCCTCTTCTGTTTCACACATTAAGACATTTCAGAGTTCAGAAACCTCCTGTCCAGTGTCATACCGTCACTGACAATCATGCCAGCCTCCAGAGGTTCATCAGCGAAGGTTTTGTAGCTGATGCCGCAGGGCCCTTCGTGGACATTGAGGAAGCAGCCCACACCATGACCCGTACCATGAAGGTAATCCAGTCCTGCCTCCCACAGAGCCGCACGGGCAAACGAATCCAAGAGGTGTCCTGGAAGGAAAATCATGTTTTACAGCAAAAGGACTGAAAAACGTGTGCGACGTTGTTTTATCATCTTAAAACAAGTCTCTAATTAGAGATTGATGGATTGTATACCTGGATTATTGAGCATAGACTTTGTTGTTGAAGTCTCCAATTACTTTAAAAACATAGTTTTGTTGAGTTTTGTTTATGTGCCCTGTCGTAGCTCATCAAACTGTAAAGATCTCTTCTTTTGTCCCCCATCTCATGCAGGCTCAAAAAAGAAAAGTGATGTTTAATTACAACAAGAAAACTTGTTTCCCCTCTCACAGTTTACCTCAGTATCTATTTCTCCATTCATTAATTATCTTCGGCTTCTTCTGGAGTCAGATCGTGAGGGCAGCAGTTTGAGCAGGGAGGCCCAAACAGCTCTTTCCACAGCCACCTCTTCTGGAAGGACTCCAGCCCAGACAGACTCACCAGTGTGTCCTGGGTCTTGTCTAGAGAGGCGTCCAGGGACCATCTTTAGCAAATGCCTGAACCACAGCAACTGGTTCTTCTCATTGAGGAGGAGCAGCAGCTCTAATCCAAGTCTCACTGATAACTGAACTTCTCCATCTCTAAAGGAGAGTACAGCTATCTAACGGAGAAAACTCTTTTCAGCTGCCGGTATCAGTATTTTTATTCTTTCGGTCACTACCCAGTTTGACACCATAGGTGAGGGTAGGAGCAAAGACTGACAGGTAAACAGAGAGCTTCATCTTGCAGCTCAGCTCCCTCTTCACCACAACGGACCGGCACGAAGTCTGCAACACTGCAGAACCTTCACCCACGTGTCTATCGTTCTATTACTCCATTCTTCCATGACTCGTGAACAAAACTAGTACTTGTCCTGCTCCACTTGAGGCAGCACCTTACTCCCAAAACAGAGCGCTGTCCACCCTTTTCTGACCGAGTACCATGGCCTCAGATTTTGAGGTGCTGGTTTAAATCCCAGCTGTTATAATTTAAATTACTTATATAAATGGTTCTGTGAGGCTTGCAACACAGGTTTCTAACCACAAATGATAATATGCCTTATTATTCATAAGTTAGTACATGTTTCCTTAGATAGATAACTTTTACTAATTGTCTTTTTTTATGTATATGAATGTTTTTGATCAGTGCCCTGACATGATTTCTGTTGTGACTTGGCGCTATATAAATAAAATGAACTGATCTGAATAATGACTCGCTGTTCAAAAGGAAGAATAAAACATTTGTCTTCCAAAAATTACAAATGAACAGTATGATATTTTTTTTTGCCTAACCAGTTTCTAGTCTTTTAAAGTAAAAATGTAATGCTCAATACTGATACCTAAAGTTTAAAAGTAATCTCTGATGATAAAAGTAGTGGTCACCTTTTGTTCCGTTGGGGAAAACAGCAGCACTGACTGCTATGTGTCCCTTCAGTACGTAAGTGAAGCATTCCTACAGGAGATGGAAAAGTAGAAAATTACACAAAATAAAGACTACATTCAGGTTTATTAAATAATTACAACATTTCATAATCTCTCAGCAAAATTGAAAATTATCCTAATAGATTCAATTAATGAAATCTGTGACACTTAATTCACCTTCTCAAAGGCAGACGGCGTCCCAAAGTGGATGGTGCGGGTGACGTCTGTGGTTCCATCACTGCAGAAGACAAAACATTAGTATTACCATACTTGTTGCTGTATCAGTCACACGTTTTTGCATAAATTAGCATGCCTGCGACTTATACAGTGAAGTGACTTATTTATGTTTTTTCCCATATTTATAACTCAATTTTTGGCTGAACTCTTGACGATTTCATTCTTTCTGACATGAAAAACATTGAACATTACCATTTTCAGCCACTAGAGGGCGCTTGAGTAATATGGCAAGCCAAGTGTTTCAATAGGTAGAAGTAGCTATTAATGAAACACTTGGCTTACCATATCAAGCCACCTTCGTCTCACTCTAGAACTCCTGGAGCAAACGTCAAATCAGCTGCATTTTGCCGCACCGCCCAGGCGAAATGCAGCTGATTTGACCTTCAAAGTGCATTTATTAAGGAAAAGTTAAACAGAGACACACCTTTGCTATAATTTTGAGCAAACAAATAATTGTTTTTAAGTGTTAGTCTTGTTAAATTCTTGTAACAGTTTTCCTGTGCACGCTCCCACGGCCGCCATTTGGCAGCCAATCGATTTTTGGCACAACACTTCCGGGTGGTCAGCGATGACGCATAACAAATGTGACGCATCAGCTGTGATACATAATAGATGCGACGTATATGTAATGCGCAAGGTTTTATATGGTGAAGTGACGTAGTTACGTTTTTTCCCGACTTTATTAGACTTATTTGGACTGATGCGACTTTTACGGCAGTGTGACGTGTACGGCGGCAAGTACGGTAGTATGTGTAAAGGGTACAAAATATATATATTTCTCTGTTCTCTGAGCTGCTAATTTTAAAAGGCATGGATAAAATAGAAGGGGGTGACATACTGGTTAGTTTTAATACACTTGATGTAGATAATAAATAACTGAAATACATTATCTTACATGTACTGAGCTCCAGAGTCGATCAGGTAAACTTCATTCACGGTGAGAGTTCTGTTGGTTTCAGGCAGCGGTCTACAAGAAGGAAACATAGATGGACTTGACCACTTCAAAGAACAAAATCACTCTTTTTTTTAAACATATTTCCTTTTGTTAACTGACCTGTAATGTATGATTGCTCCATTTGGGCCCACGCTGGAGATTGTGGGGAAACTGAGGCCAACAAAATTTTTCTGTTGACTGAAAAAGACAAGGCACAAAAAGGAAAGTGATGGGACAGAAATGCACAAGCTTTAAAACCTCTGAAATGTTCAACGTTCTTTATTGTCATTCATGTGGTACATGAGGTGGAAAGAAATTTTGTACCCAAGGTCACCCCAAAATATCAAAAATATAAAGTACTGCATAAGTAAAAATAAACAGTATACAATTATCTAAATTATAAGATTATCTTAAAAGATAAATCACCAAGAAAAGTGTAAAACATGCCAAAACATATGAAACTTCCTGTAAGGTAAAAGTACAACTGTTTATTATAAAATAAAAATAAAACAGCGGGAGACAGTTGGTATTTTAGTGATAAAAAGCAGCATTTCTTCAGCTAAAGTTGTCTGAGGAACAAAAGGTGCATGTTCTCTGCAAGAGCTGTTGATTATTGTTACATAAAACTTAACTACTGAAACAACAGATTAGACAAAAAATATTTTGCAGACGAACAGGACAAACACTCTTTGGACCTTTAGTTTAACTCAGGAATCCAGTAGAAGAGGTTATTACTGCAAACCACTGAGTGGGACAACAAGTCGTCCAGCATCTTTCAAACACAGACGTTTGAAGCTGTCAAAATGTAAAACTTTATCAAGTAACAAGAAAAACCAAAAGTTAGGCACAACAAATATTCACCTGCGGAACTCTTCGGCTTTATCGGCTGCAGAAATCTCAGTTATGTTGCCTTTTTGGATCTAAAAACAACAATCAAAGTGCACAGTTACTGTAGGTAGAGAGTAAAAAAAAAAACACTTACATTTTAAAGCTAAAATTCAATGTAAGTGAGAAAACGCAACAAAGTTCATGCTCAGTCATCCAGGTACCAAATACAATAATTCTCATTCGGGTCATCTGGATAGTGAGAAAAGTTTTCTGATCTGAAGGTTTTCGCTCTTAAAAACAAGATATAGTAGTCCCTTGTTTATTGTGTGAGTTTCTGTTCTCAGTCCCCCGCAATAAGTGAAAACCCCGCCCATGAAGTAGGAATAGTAGTACTAGTAGCAAGTGTGAGGATTGTGCCCTCTGGTGGCTGGTTTTCATTCCTACACTCCCTGGTTTCCCTCTTTCTGTCTGATCTGTTCCAGCTGCATTCCTCACAGGTGTTATGTCTCATTAGTCACTGTATATAAGTCTGTGTCTTTGTGTTCCTGGTTGTCTGGGAATCGTCTGGTTTCCCTCCTTGAGTCTCCGGTGATTCCCTCCTTGAGTCTCCGGTGATTCCCTCGTGTTCCTTCGAGCCATGCAAGTGTTTTGCTGCCATGACAGCTTATTATTTTGTATTCATTAAAGTGCTTCTTATTTTACTCAGAGTCCTGCCTGCACCAATGGGTTCTGCTCCAAAACCATCACTCCTGACAGTAGGGTAAAATAATCTATTTTAAATTTTAAAAAATCCATGTCAATTGTGTGGCTTATCCATCAATTGTGTGTCCAATCCTACTTTGAAAAAAGGCGAAAGAGTGACTCTGCAAAAGTCGAACAATGAAGAAGTGAGGGACTATTGTACATTTAAAAAGAATTGCATGTGCTCATGTCCATGTACAAATTTGTTTCTCTTAAGTCGCATTTTTAGACCGCTGTTACCACAAACTCGATCCATTCTATGATCATGTGAAAAATGTGGCCACACAAACCTCCTTTTCCAACCAAGCAAAAAGTTCACAAAGGGCAACTGCATCCTTGATCTGTTGGTAAAAGCACAAAGAATACATGTTTAATCTTTTACAAGACTCATGAAGAAATCACAGGCTCAGTAAACTGAGTGTATTTAATTTCACAGATTAAGAGTTGGAAAAACTTACGTGTGCCATTTTCATGCCTTCTATCTCGGTAACGTTCTTCACAGCCTTAGCGAGACACAGTGGCGTGTAGGGGATGGGAGTCCTGTGAATCTAAGAAAACAAGTGTGCCACATACTGCACGTTATACGCCCATCGACAAACTATCACAGCAATCTATAGCAATGGTCTGGACAAACAAAAGCCTGACATAACCTTTGACCTTGAGCTTAGAACTTGGGTGATGAAACGATTACATGACTCACTGTCTAGTGATGATATTGGAGAATAGTCCAACATAGGCAAATGAAATGTTCCAAGACAGCAGTTGTATAGAAACTACAACCAGGTTATCTTTTTGACTGTCAGTTTAGGATGCTGTGTAACAGGACTTTTGTATTCTACTAACCAACCAAAAACAATTCAACAAGGAATGATGTCTAAATAAAATTGAGTTTAGCAGTCTTGTGTAAAAAAAAACAGCTGAAATATGGATAGAAATTATGTGCAAATTGAGTTGTGGCAGGTTGTGGCAGCAGAAACCTAATCTGAACCTTATAGTCCTACAGAACCTCACTGACCTACACAAGGCGAGGTCAGTGAACAAAGCCAGGCTGATTCTGGCAGATCCTGATCACCACTCCATGGTGAGTTCAGGTTGCTTCCATCTGGACGCAGATATCTGCTGCCCAGATGTACAAACCGGATTCAAAAAAAGTTGGGAAACTAAACAAATTGTGAATAAAAACTGAATGCAATGATGTGGAGGTGCCAACATCTAACATTTTATTCAGAACAAAACACAAATCACAGATCAAAAGTTTAAACTGAGAGAATGTATCATTTTAAGGGAAAAATCTGTTTCCAAATTTCATGGCATCAAAAAACCCCCAAAAAGTTGGGACAAGTCCATTTTTACCACAGTGTGGCATCCCCCCTTCTTCTTACAACACTCAACAGACGTCTGGGGACAGAGGAAACCAGTTTCTCAAGTTTAGAAATAGGAATGCTCTCCCATTCATGTCTAATACAGGCCTCTAACTGTTCAATCGTCTTGGGCCTTCTTTGTCGCACCTTCCTCTTTATGATGCGCCAAATGTTCTCTATAGGTGAAAGATCTGGACTGCAGGCTGGCCATTTCAGTACCCGGATCCTTCTCCTACGTAGCCATGATGTTGTGATTGCTGCAGAATGTGGTCTGGCATTATCGTGTTGAAAAATGCAGGGTCTTCCCTGAAAGAGTAGATGGGAGCATGTTGTTCTAGAACCTGAACATAGTTCTCTGCATTAATGGTGCCTTTCCAGACATGCAAGCTGCCCATGCCACAAGCGCTCATGCAACCCCATACCATCAGTGATGCAGGCTTCTGAACGGAGCGTTGATAACAACTTGGGCTATCCTTGTCCTCTCTGGTCCGGATGACATGGCATCTTGGTGTTCCATAAAGAACTTCAAATCGTGACTCATCTGACCACAGAACAGTCTTCCATTTTGCCACACACCATTTTAAATGACCCCTGGCCCAGTACAAACGTCTGAGCTTGTGGAGCTTGCTTAGAAATGGCTTCCTCTTTGCACTGTAGAGTTTCAGCTGGCAACGGCGGATGGCACGGTGGTGGATTGTGTTCACTGACAATGCTTCCTGGAAGTATTCCTGAGCCCATTCTGGTATTTCCTTGACAGTGGCATTCCTGTTTGAGGTGCAGTGACGTTTAAGGGCCCGGAGATCACGAGCATCCAGTAGAGTTTTACGGCCTTGACCCTTACGCACAGCGATTGTTCCAGATTCTCTGAATCTTTTGATGATGTTATGCACGGTTGATGATGAGAACTTAAAAGTCTTTGCTATTTTACGCTGGGTAACACCATTCTGGTATTGCTGCACTATTTTTCTGTGCAACAATGGTGGAATTGGTGATCCTCTTACCATCTTGGCTTCTGAGAGACACGGACACTCTGAGAAGCTCTTTTTTATACCCAATCATGTTGTCAATTGACCTAATTAGTGTTAATTGGTCTTCCAGCTGTTCGTTATATGCACAATTTCCTTTTTCCAGCCATGTATTGCTACCTGTCCCAACTTTTTTGGGATTTGTTGACACTGAAATTTTGAATCAACATACTTTTCCTTTAAAATGTTACATTTACTCAGATTAAACTTTTGATCGGTCATCTATGTTATATTACAAATAAAATATTGACATTTGCCATCTCCACATCATTGTATTCAGTTTTTATTCACAATTTGTTTAGTGTCCCAACTTTTTTGGAATCCGGTTTGTAGAATGAACAGACTGAAAAACTCATTCATCCCTGTAGCGATCAGGCTTCTCAATGAACACTGATGACTGAACATACTTTAATGTCTCAATGTCTTGTGTAGTACGGATGTTTTGTGTCTACCGAGTGTGAAACAAATTGACCCTTGGGGATAATAAAGATTATTGAATTTGAACTTGAACAATGTTTCCTCCAGGTCTTAATACTGTATAACTGTACAAAAAAAGAATATATAAAAAAGAAACGGCTAAAGAACTAAACTTTTGGATTACTAACAAACCAGTGAGCATGTTAACACTTTGCACACTGCAGACATTTTTTTCAATCTCACGAACTGAGTCAGTTGTAAGACTCACCTCTCAGTCTGCTCAGACTCAGCAGGATTCATTTAACAAACAGGAAGGAAGTAGTTAGGCTGAATAAAAATCTGAGGTATGGTGTGGCTTGTAGTGAACTTATAAAACGGCTTAAAAGTGCACATTGTGTTGCCACCTGAAGAACTTGAAACAAGTGTTATTTTTAAACTACGAAACTATTACTCTACACAAAGTGTTGTAAAACGGTGAACTCCGTCTTTAAAACACTAACCTTCTCTGGAATGTGTTTTTTTTTTTTTCTCACTCATACAAAATCATCAAGCTCTCCTGTTCATTATATTAATCAGTAAGTTTTTTCTTAACAGGTGCTGATTTTGCTCAACACTTTACTGTTATTTGGTGTCACTGCACTTTGTAGGGATCTATATAAACACAAGCATTTTTTAATTGTGTGAATGTTTATGAAGCATTCACACTATTGTGATCCATTTTTCTTCCGCATGTTTTTCAGCACAATTCTCGTCCCGCAGTTTGAGCTATTTCAACAAATCATAAATCAAAACGTTCAGCTCTTTCAGAACACTCCTGCTATGACTTTTGGTATTGGTGCAACTTTAGCTTTTTGAAATATTTAGCCTTTTTTTTTTTTTACCACTTTTTCCTCATAGAAAATGAATTGAGCTCATCTTACATCCTTCAGATCTTTAGATGTGTTTATAACCTTTTACTGCTCCTTTCACATTTTGTTCTGCTTCAACTTTTCAGCGTCCTTGTGCAATTGTAAACTTTTTCGTACTATTTTCAGCTAATTACAGTTGTTTTTTCAGCTGTTTCTGCTCATTTCAGATTCTTTCTACTAACTACATTTTTGTGCTTCTTCTAATGTATTTCTGCTAATTTCAGCTTGTTATGCTCCTTTCAGTTAGTTTCAATTTTTTCAGCTACTTTTTAGCTGTTTTATGCTAATTTTAGTTTTTTTCAGCTAATTCCACATTTTCTGCACTCATTTCAACTTTTTTCAGCCTAATTCAGCAAAACATGTGCTCTCCACTTCCTACTGGTAACTTAAGCTTCTTTCTGACCTTTTAGCTACTTTTCAGCTGTTTTTTTGTTGCTAATTTCAGATTTTTTCAGATAATTTCCACTTTTTAGTGCTAATGTCTGCTTCTTTCAGCAAACTTTTGCTCTTTCTTCTTTCAATTTAAAAACTTATTCTACCTTTTAAGCATTATTTGCTCATTTCAGCTGTTATCAGCTATATTGAAGTTTTTCATGGTAATTTCTGCTACATTTATATAAATTAACTTCCATTCATTTCATCTTT